TTCCTTCAAAGCAGCCTGAACTTCTTCTTTCATCACCATAGGCTCTTGCTCATATGTTGTTTCATGAAATTCTTCTGTGTCTTCCAATTCCTTTCAAAACAGTGACTCAGTATATTCCTTCCATCTTCTTTTAATACTTCCTGGATCATTTAACATTCTGCCTAGAACTTGAAATTGTCTTTCTAAGTATGAATGCAATAATATTCTTCTTCTGATTTTCTTTCTCTCTTCATCTCATCTCACTAATCTCAAGAATGTTGATGTTCATCCGTCTCAAATTTTCATAATTTTTAATTTTCCAACATTCATACTTCTTATATTCCATGGCCCAACTATTAAATAATGTTTGCAGCTATTTGTCCTCATTTTTATTTAGAAATTTGGGCTCCACCTCTCATTCTTTTTTTTTTCCGTTTGAAAGCAGTCACTGTTTTATTAACTGACCAGATTACAAAAAAGAATCATGGTTGATACCTTAGTTCATTCTTCTGATAAGTCTGTTGATCTGGTCTTCCCGGTTGCCAGCATCTCCACCTTCTACAAAATGAGTGGTCTTTTTGTTCATTCCACCTCGTGGCGAAGATAATTTGAATGGCCACAAGAAGTTGTTTGCTTCTTTGAAGCATTTGCCAACAGTATAGATCTCATGAATCTGATCATCCATGCAGATGATACCATATTTACTGGAAATTTTAAGGTATGCAAATGAGAGTCAATCACAGGCTGTGGTATAAAAAGGTGAGAAATGCATGGCTTTATCCACCTCTCATTATATAACTACCTGTGCGCCTCTATTCTTTGTAGGGTTCTCTGAGGACTGCTGTTTATTCATTATAATTGAAGTAATTTTGCTGTATTATTCACTTCTTTCTATTTATTATCTGTTTCTCTCATTGATACTTTGTAGTTTTTTTTTTTTATCTTGTCCTACATTTATTTATGTCCTTATTTTATCTTCCCAGAGGTACTATGCACTCTTTCTTAGCTAACTGTGGAGCCAAATGATTGTATATGTTAGCTATTCAGTAAAATAACTAAACCTGTCATATGAAACAAAAAATGATGAATAACATTTCTTTTTAGAGTGATAATACTTTTGTTTACCTTGGTTGTGCTCATAAGTGAATAAATCTCTTAAATTTAGAGTGACAAGCACTTATAAATGGTTTCCGCTTTAACAGATCTTCTTTAGTGTGATCATAAAACAAATCCAACCAAATGCATAGTACTTGTCCCTGGGGCTTAGAGGTTTGTAAAAGTCTTTGCAAGAGGAGACTGTCCATCCCCCACAGGGAAACTAGTGGATTCAAACCACCAACGTTTTATTTCGCAGCACGACACATACTACACTATGCCATGACAGCTGCTCAGTGCAGTCATAAATGACCTACCCATGCTGTTTGAATGCATGGATGCTTACACCATGGCTGCTGCCTCTTCTTACAGTGGGTTCCAGAAGCCAACTTTCTGTGTGATGTCTGGGCCAACATGGCAACTCATACAGCAGATCAAGAACTATGAGTACCCACTCAACGTAGAGGAGCAGGATGTCAATAAGCCTGCATCTTGTGTGTGGGAAAGTGGAGTGTAACAGCACCCAAGAACTTGTGATTCAGCTAGTATTAATATGTATTAAGTATTAATACTATTAAGATAGTATTTTAGTAAACTCTAAATTTAGCTTGAATTAAGGGATTTGGGGGGACCATGTAACTTACTTATTGCTAGTTTTGAAATTTATATGAATAGGGTAGGGTGGAACAAATGCAGCAATATGGAAGACTAGGCAATGGGGTCACACTTAACTGTGTTCCTATGGAAATTATTTGAATATTTATTTTAAATATATTTTTATTCACTTTTCACATAAACTACTATACTCAGACCAGGAAGCAGTCCTCAGAGCAAAGAAGTGAAACACTGTGTGGTTCAAAATCAGGAAGGAAGTGCATCAAGGTTGTGTCCTGTCACCATACCTTTTCAATCTAAATGCAGAATAGATCATTCAGAAGATTGGGCTTTATAAAGAGGAATGTGGCATCAGGATTGGAGGAAGACTTGTCAACAACCTGCAGCATGCAAATGACACAACCTTGCTTGTTGAAATTGAAGAGGTCCTGAAGTGCTTGTTGCAGAAAATCAAGGACTGTAGTCATCAATGTGGATTGAAGCTCAGCATTAAGAAGACAAGACTTTTCACCTCTGGGCCAATTGGCAACGTTGTGATAGATGAAGAAGAGATTGAAGTTGTCAACAATTTCTGCTTGCTTGGCTCTACAATCAACACTCTTGGCACCAACAGTCAGGAAATCAAAAGACAAATTGCATCTATTGTTCTCCAGAGTACTGAGAAGCAGTAATGTTGGTCTGAGACTAAAGATGCACTTGCTCTTGGCCATGGCCTTCATAGGTACTTGTTGTATATCACAGAGCTGGGCAATGATTAAGGCTGATAGAAGAAGAAATGATACCTTTGAGGTATGGTGCTACAGAAGACTATTGAACATACTCTGGACCACCGAGAGAATAAACAGACATCTTGGCGAGTGTAAAACCAAGTTCTCGATGAGTAAGATTTTGAAGCTCTGTCTTACATACTTTGAGCACATGATTAGGAGGAACTGATCCTTGGAAAAGGACATCATGCTCAGAAGGGTGGAGGGGCAGTGTCAGAGAGGAAAACCCTGGATGAGATGGACAGACACAGTGGCTAGGGTAGTGAGGGTGAATGCGTTAGAGTCAGGGAGACTGGCTCAGGACAGGGCAGGGTTCATAGCTATTGTACATAGGGTCGCAATGAGTTGCAGGCTACTTGATAGCACATAACAACAACAACAACTTAAAAATGCACCCAGCTGCTGAGAAAGCTTTTGTAGCTTGTCCAGGGGCTAATGGGCCAAAAGGTTCATGTTTTAATGTTAAAAGGTGACCTGTTTTAAAAAGAATATATCTTGAAATAATTGAGAGGGGGAGGAAGTGACTTATCCACGTCTATATATCAATGTGTAAAACACTTAGTCAAAGTTAATTGCACTGCCAACCCAAAGGTAATGGTTCAAATCCACCAGCTAGAAATTTGGGATGATCTATTCCTATGTGATTTACTGCCTCAGAAAACCTCCTAGAGGGTCAGCTATTAGTTTTAACTAGACAATACACAAGAACAACAATTTCTAAGCCCTGTCACTCAGGATTTGAAAGAGTAAACCAAATCAAGGCATTTGCATTAATAATTTTAGCAGTTGTTTATTGTCTGTTTTACCTAATGTAGTTTGTCTTTTGATTTCCTGACTGCTGATGCCAAGAGTGTTGTAGAGCTGAGCAAGTTGTAACTGTTAACAACCTCAATCTCTTTTACGTCCATCATGGGATTTCCAATTGGCCTGACACACTCCTTCTCATAAAACCCAGCCTCTCAAATGATATGCTCTACATATAGATTGAAAAGGTATGGAGACAGGGTGAATCCCTGACACAGTCCCTTCCTGATTTTGAACCATACAGTGTTTCTCTGCTCTGTTCTGAGGACTGCTTCCTGGTCCAAATATAGATAAATCTGCTGTCAGGGACCTTTCCAGAGTACTGAGAAGCAACAGTGACAGTACAGAGAGTAAGGTGTGCCTAATCCAGGCCATGGTCTTCACAACTACTTGCTGTGCATCAGAGAGCTGGACAGTGTCTAAGATGACAGATGAAGAATTGATGCCTTTGAGTTGTAGTGCTGGAGAAGAGTCTTGAACTAACCATGGACTGCCAAGAGAGGGTGAAACCAAGTTTCTCCTTGGAGGCCAGGATTTTGAAGCTCCATCTCACATACTTTAAGCATGTGGTCAGGGTGGATCCATCCTTGGAGGAGAATATTATGCTTGGAAGGGTGGACAGACAGCACAGGAGAGGAAGACACAGGATGAGATGGGCTGATACAGTAACTGGGGCAATGGAGGTAGGTGTTTGGAGTCAATGAGACTGGCTCAGGACAAGGCAGGCTTCAGAGCTGTTTTACATAGAGTTGCTGGTGTCTCCGCAACTCATTACAGCAACAGATTGTCTGAATCCATTCTTCTTTTCTAATATTGATTTTGAAATAATAACTGTACTTTATAATCCATATGAATAGGGTAATATATTCATATAAGTGAAGTTTAGTTCTTTGTTTATAATTTTATTTTCCTTCTTTTTTTCTGTGTGTTTATAAACCAGTGAACATAACTGATCCTGCTGCCCTTGGCTTCATAATATCTCCGTGGTCTCTGCTGCTGCTCCCATCTGGAAGTGTGTCGTTTACAGATGAAAATATTTCCAACCAGGATCTCAGAGCATTTACTGCACCAGAGGTTCTTCAAAATCAGTCACTTACTTCTCTGTCAGATGTTGAGAAGGTAACTGTTAAGTGTTTTTTTCCTCTTCATTTTTAGTTGTTCCTTTGGTGGGAATAACAAAAGAAGGAAGCTTGGCCACCCTGTATCAGCCCTCTTCGGGAAATTATTCTAACATGATCATGTATTCTAAGAAATTAATATTTATTTCATTTAAGAGTTTAGAAAACAGTTGTAGATATGTTTCTGGATCTGGAAAAATATAAGCTGTTATTTAGTTTTATAAATACTTACCATATGTCTGTTTTGGAAATATTCATAAGCATAATATTGTGCTTATGAAGGTGATACAAAAATAATCAGAAAATTATCCCTGATCGCTGTATATGTTATAATCTGTAATAAGTAGATTGTTACATTATTACAGATTTTTGAAGATTACCACCAATCAGTGAAGGGAGACAGTAAGTTAGCCATAAGGTAGAGATAGTGAAGCACCGATGTTTAAGACGTTGTTTTTATTAGTTACCATTGAGTTAACTGTGATTCATACTAATCCTGTGAACATCAAATCTGAACTTTGACCTATCCTGTGCCATTCTCATCATCTCTGATGTGTTCCAGACCATTGTTACAACAGGCTTGTGTGTTGGAGATAATGAATATAGCACATGATGGGGCAAGATGTTCATTCTTGTTCATTGGATCATTGACTAGCCAACTGAAGGACACAGCGCCAACACCATTTTAAAGTTAATTGCTTCAATCTCATGTGCAATTTTAAATATAAGAATAGTCAAAGTAAGTTTGTTGATCTTTCCACTGTTTAAAACATCAAGCAAAGCTCCTAGGAAGTAATTAGACTCTAATATTTTAGTTTTATCATGGCGAAGAGTTGAGAAATACATTTTCAAGAAGAGATAGTAACTCTTTAAAAGCTTGTGGTTTAAGGTTGTTTCATTAACAGAAACCATAAAACCAAAGCCACTGCTGTGGACTCAAAAAAGAAACTTACTGCAGGATCTGACTTATTGCTGACCCACCAGTGAGCTTTATGAGACTATAAATTGCATGGGAGGAAATTGCCCAGCTTTCTTCTGAGGAGCTACTAGTGGATGCAACTGCCAAAGAAGAGTCACCTTTGTGTTAGCAGTGTGGTTCCCTAGGTAGTGCGCCACCAGAGCACCACACGCCGGTGAATCCATCTCTACTCATGACTGCCTGTGGTACAGAGTAGTCGCTGCTCCGTGAGGTCTTCTTGGCTATAATCTTTACAGCAGAGGATTTCTAGGTCTGTTTTCATTGACAACACTGAATTGGTTTAAAGCTCCATCTCTCAGATTAGTAGTCGAGTGCAAATTGTTCGTGCCACCTAGAAGCCTGCTAATACTCTTACATTCAAGAAATGCTTTTCAAAACGAAGGTGAAGGCTGCATAGGGGTGTGGACTTGAGGGGCAGGGATTGTATAACAATGAAAGAATTTTTCTTTTACTTTTCAAACAGAAGAGCGAATTGGAGGGGGGGAGGTTGGGCAGAGAGAAAGAGAAGTGCAACAATGAATGAATGGAAATCCAAAGTCTCTATAAACTTTTATTAAAATTAATAAAAAAAGTACTTGCCACTGGTTGCTTATAAAACTCAGTAATAATAATAAATACTAAAAATGTTCAGAAAAGACCAATAACTAATAAATCCTTCTATTGTCAAATTGGCTCCCAATTATATATAGTTATATAGTTATATAGTTATATAGTGACCCTCCATTGGCTTTTGTTAAGGTTCTAAGTTCGTCTTCTGCTTTTTAATCATAATTAGAGTGAACACTTGCAAAGCAAATTGGTTTTCCTTGAAAACATGATGGAAGGTTGCTACAAGTTAGCGTGAGTCTAATGAGCTTGAACTTGAGTATGAATCAGTACTTAGAAATGCAAATTGCTTATTCAGTGGAAGTTGTAGGAGGTAAAGTTGTAAATCTGAAAACCATTCACAGAGAGAAATTAGGAAAGATTTAGAAATGAGATCAATGAGTTAGAATGTAAAATGAGAAGTCGAATGAGAAAAGGATATTTGTGAATCCTTATCATTGAGCGTTAGAAGAAAGAATTTGGTAAAAGGAGCTGAAAAATTATAAAGATTATAAGGCAATTATTGAGAAGGATGTCAAAGAGTTTAGGTGATACAAATGTTGACAGCTACTATTTACACTCAGACAAAAGTAGAAGTTTTTGTTTAACCAATCACAGAGTGATAAAAAAACACTTAAAGGTTTGAGTAATAAGCAATGTGTCTAATATAATAGATTCAGAGAGAACTATATTACTAGCAAAAGATGCACAGTTTTTTAAGCCTACATGGATGATATAAATAAAAAAGTGCAAGTAAGCTAGAAAGGAGACTGAATACAGTTATTGTCAGATAAACCAAGTTAACTAGTCACAGTGTCATAAAACTAGAAAATAAAGGACAAGACTTAATAGCATCATAACACTATTATTCCGCCTGCCATTAGTTGATTCAGATTAGTGACAACCTATGTACATCAGAATGGAGCTGTAGGCTCAGTAGATTTTTCAATGGCTCCTGTAAGAAGCTATGCTACAAACCCGAAGGCACGTGGTTCAAATCAACCAGTTGACCCACAGGAGAAGAAGGATAGGTAGTCTTCTCCTGTGTGATTAACTGTGTCTGAAAACCTGCTGGAGGGTCAGCTATAGGTCTATTCTGACTCAAGAGTAAACAGTAACAATTCCTTTTTTATAAGAATTAAAAAAATAGAAATTTTATTTTTTCTTATTGTTGTGTTGTTGAGAATATACATAACTAACATACAAAAGAACAGATTCCACATGTATAATTCTGTGGTATTAATTATGCTTCAAATTATACTCATTCCTTTTTCTGAGTTGTTTCCCTTCCATTAATAGAAACTCATTGTCCCTAGATTTTCTATATGGTCTTTTAAGTTGCTGTTGTCAATTTAATTCTATTTAGAGAGATTTTAAAAGAGCCAATCTTCAATGCAAACTTTATTATGAGTTGAAATATTATTTAGTTTTAAAAGGCTTCAGGGAATAAGTTTTATTTAAAATTTAAGCATCCGCACAGGACAGTAGTTTTGTTTGTTCATTCAGCCTGTATGACTCTAGAAAATGAGGTTCCTATGAAATATTGAAACTTTTTTCTTCCTCTTTCTCCTTTTGGCTTGGATTCTTGTATTGAATCTTTGACCAAAATGTTTAGGAATGGTAGCCAAGCACCATTCAATCTTTATGTCTTGTGATGAAAGAGAACGGCTCAGACTCACTTACCCACACATCCAGTTTCTGTCCTATTCCTTATTCTTTTTTCCTCCCTCATGGGACTTTCAAGGGATTATTAGTTCAGAACTGGGTAACCAGTCTCACTTTATAGTCTACAGTGGATGATTCTATTGGTATTTGGAATATCAGTGGAATCGTTTTTAGTATCACACAACATGCAAGCCACCACAGTACTGCAAGTAAAATCTTGCTCAAGATTGTTGTTGTTGTTATGTGCCGTCGGGTTGCTTGCAACTCATAACGACCCTGTGGACAACAGACCTAAACCCTGCTCTATCCTCTGCCATTCGCACTGCCTCCAGCACACCCATCCTGATTACCCCAGTCACTGAGTCAATCCACCTCATAGAGGATTTTCCCCTCCTGTGCTGTCCCTCTACCATCCCAAGCATGATGTCCATCTCCAAGGACCCGTCCCTCCTTACAACATGTCCAAAGTATGTCAGATTAAGTTTCAGAATCCTTGCCTCCACGGAACAGCCTGGTTTAACCCTCTCCAGGATGAATCTATTTGTTTTTTTGACAGTCGATGGTATATTGAATACTCTTCTCCAGCACCACAGGCATCAATTCTCCTTCTATACTCCCTAGTCATTGTCCAACTCTCTGATGCGTAACAAGTGATTGCAAAGACCATGGCCTGTATCAGACACACCTTAGTCTCCAGAGTGACACCATTGCTCTTCAGTACCCTGGAGAGGTCCTTAACAGCAGACTTTCCCAATGTAATTTGCCTTTTGATTTCCTGGCTACTGGTGCCAAGAGTGTTGACTGTGGAGCCAAGCAGACTAAAGTTGTTAACAATCTCAATCTCTTCACCAACCATCCTGCTGCTGCCAGTTGGTCCAGTGGTGAGAATCTTTGTCTTCTTGACATTGAGCTTCAATCCATATTGTACATAGGGTTTTCAGAGACCTGCTATTTCGGAATTGGATGGCCAGTCCTTCTTCCTAGTCTGTCTTAATCTGAATGTTCAGATTTAGAGGAGTATTTGACAGACAAGTAATTTATAGAAAAGTGAAAGATATATCCCTCATTGTGGAGTTAACCATTAATTACAGTGTTGTTCCTGCCCTTGGCCCAGTGTCTTGACCCACTTATTTCTCAGCTCCTCCCACCACCAGGATACCCCTTCACTTCTACTCACTCCTTCAATGGAAGATAAATGCTCAAGATTGTTAAGAAAAAAACAGAAAAAAAACCCCCCAAAACAACCATAGCAGTACATTGACAGAGAACTGGATTCAGAAGGGATCATGGAATGAGAGATATCATTATTGATATCAGATGAATTTTGGCTGAAACCGAGAAAATTCTATTTTAGAGATGTTCACTTGTGTTTCCTTCACTGTGCAAAGGCATTTGACTGTATAATAAATTATGGATAACATTGAGAAGAACGGCAATTCTAGAACACTTAATTGTGCTAAGGTAGAACCTACACATAGAGCAACAATCAATCATCCAACCAGAAAAAAAGGATGCTGCATATTTTTAAATTAGGAAAGATGAGTATCTTTCATCATACTTACTCTTTCTGCATGCTGACCAAATAATTCCAGAAGCTGAACTCTGGTGGCTCAGTGGTAAGAAGTTGCACTAGTAACCCAAAGACACTTGATTCAAATCCACTATCTACTCTGTGGAAGAAAGATGGGAATTCTCCTCCCATGCAATTTATTGCCTCTGAAAACCCACTGGAGGGTTAAAAAAAAAGTTGCGTTGGAGTAATGCCAAGGACTTCTTTAAAGTACTAAATAGCAAAGATGTCATCTTGAAGACTGAGTTGCACCTGATGCCAGCCATGGCATTTTTGGTTATTGTATGCATGTAGATTCGGACTATAAATAAGGAAAGCTGAAGAAGAATCAAGACTTTGGAATTTTGATGTTGGAGAAGAATATTGATTATCTCTTGGTCTCCGCCCCCCCAAAAAAACCAACAACACCCAAATCCCAAACAAATTTGTCTTGCTGGAGTACAACCAGAGTACCTTACAGGCAAGGACGATGAATCTTCATCTCACTTATTTTGGGAGGGCATGTTGTCTGGAGGGACTAGTTCTTAGAAAAAGGTACCACGCTGGGAGGGTGAAGAATCAGCAATAGAGAAGAGAACTGTCAATGAGATAAACTGATGCAGCGACTACAACAGTGGGCCAGAGCATGAGAGAAATCATAGAAATGGCACAATTATAGGGCAACTGTTAGATCTGCTGTTCATTGGGCCACAGTTACTTTTAGGCAACTCAAAGCACCTAATGACAGCAACAACAAATGTTATTGTTGTTGTTATGTGCTGTCAAGTTGCTTGCGACTCATAATGACCCTATGTACAACACCCCTAAACCCTGCTCTATCCTGTGCCAATTGCACTGCCTCTGACACACCCATCCCGATTACCCCAATCCATCAATCCATTTCATAGAGGGTCTTCCCCTCTTGGGCCGTCCCTCCACCTTCCCAAGCATGATGCCCCTCTCCAAGGACCTGTCCCTCCTTGCAACATGC